GCTGTGTGAGAACCACAACCAGGACCTGCAGGTTAGTTAGGTACCCGGTAAACCACCAGGACCTGCAGGTTAGTTAGGTACCTGGTAAACCACCAGGACCTGCAGGATAGTTAGGTACCTGTAAACCACCAGGACCTGCAGGATAGTTAGGTACTGGTAAACCACCAGGACCTGCAGGTTAGTTAGGTACCCGATAAACCACCAGGACCTGCAGGTTAGTTAGGTACCTGGTAAACCACCAGGACCTGCAGGATAGTTAGGTACCTGTAAACCACCAGGACCTGCAGGATAGTTAGATACCTGGTAAACCACCAGGACCTGCAGGTTAGTTAGATACCTGGTAAACCACCAGGACCTGCAGGATAGTTAGGTACTGGTAAACCACCAGGACCTGCAGGTTAGTTAGATACCTGGTAAACCACCGGGACCTGCAGGTTAGTTAGATACCTGGTAAACCACCAGGACCTGCAGGTTAGTTAGGTACCTGGTAAACCACCAGGACCTGCAGGATAGTTAGATACCTGGTAAACCACCAGGACCTGCAGGATAATTAGATACCTGGTAAACCACCAGGACCTGCAGGTTAGTTAGGTACCTGGTAAACCACCAGGACCTGCAGGATAGTTAGATACCTGGTAAACCACCAGGACCTGCAGGTTAGTTAGGTACCCGGTAAACCACCAGGACCTGCAGGTTAGTTAAGTACCGATAGTATTTCCACAGGTTCTTGATGGTAATGAAGCGTGGCCACTATAACTCTGATCCTCCATCTGAGCCTCTTCTGCCCAGTGTCCAGGTCATGTAATCAATCAGCAACAAATTGTCCAGTTTTAGGACTTCCATTAGCATTTTAGCTATCACCATAGATGAACAATCGCCCACCATCGCAGGAAGTCCAATAATTCTAATATTGTCACGTCTCATATGCCCCTCCACAGTTTCGAACTGTTTTTAAGCCCATCAACCTCACTCCTTAACTCCATCACCGTCCCACACAGCTTCTCCATCTCATCTGAGAACAAAGCCACAGTCCTCATCCTCTGAAACACCAAGTTTAACTTGATCAAACTCTGCACTGGTGTTGGCCAACTCGGCTTGGACCACCTGCAACTCACTCCTGATAAAATTAAAATCATCCGCCACTGCTGCTCTTATGTTCATCCTAATCATCGCCATGACTTCGGTTTTACTTGAGGCCAGAATGTCTGACCTCAGTGCTGACTCGTCTGTCCCTCCAGAGCGGCGCAGGTGGGGCAGACGCACCTGCAGGTCCCCCTGCTCCTCCATCACAGCAGGCCGAGGCTGCTGCGGTGATAATAGGCCGCGGGGAGAAGATTCATTTCAGTTCAGTTTATTTCTAAAGCTCCAAGTCAGATCAGAAGTCGTCTCAGGGCCTGAACAGAAACATTCAAATATAAAAATAATAATTGAACAGAAACATT